ATATATATAAGGAAATTCACTAAAGTATACATCATTCTAAATGTTGGTGTACGAGGGACAAGGTGTTCTCAATACTATTATCAACAAGTTACCGGGCTATAGATACTGTGGATCGGGTACTAAATTTCAAAAACGTCTTGCGCGTGGTGATCCTGGCATTAATCCTTTGGATACTGCATGTAAAGCACACGATATTGCATATTCTAAGACTCATTCTCTAGACGAACGCCATAAGGCCGATTGGGAATTTGAAAACAAAGCTTGGGAACGCGTCAAGTCGAAGGACGCGACTTTTGGTGAAAAATCAGCCGCTTGGCTTGTTACTACAGGAATGAAGGCTAAACGTAAAATGGGTGCAGGATTAGGCGACCAAGCTGTTGCTTGGATGCTTAAAGTGGCTAAACGAAAACTTGGGTTAGGAGCGATTACAGGAAAAGTAGGAACATCTTTGAAGAAGAATCCTTCATCGGATCTGAAAAAGTCAGCCGCTCATGCGTTGAAAGTAGCACGAATGTTAATTAAAAAATCTGGAGGGCGAAAAAGTGTTAGAATTCCTAGGATAATTCCGATTCCAAAGAGCGGAGGATTCCTTCCTTTGATTCCATTATTTGCTGGTCTATCAGCTCTTGGTGCGTTATCAGGAGGCGCGGCCGGCATCGCCAAGACAGTCATCGATGCCAAGAATGCTCAAAAGAAACTTGAAGAAGATCAAAGACATAATAGAGCTATGGAATCTATTGGTAAAGGATTATATTTACGAAAAAACGCAAAAGGGGTATTGGGATTATTTTTAAAGAAACAAAAAACTACCGTTGAAGCTACCCTCTAGACCTCTATACGATAAAGACTTGATTGTGTATGCTAAACGTTTAAAAATACCATATTTTCGTGGAGTTTTCATGAGAGACATTTTACCAAAGACATCTCACCAAAAAGAATCCGCCATTTTAAATTTAGATACGTCGAGAAATCAAGGAACTCATTGGGTAGCTTATAAAAAGATAAACGATATCGTAGACTATTTTGATTCATTCGGTAATCTAAAGCCGCCGAAAGAACTTGTTCGCTATTTAGGTAAAGCAAAAATATTTTACAACATATCAAACTTATAACCAAATTAATTGTGGACATTTATGTTTAAAGTTTCTATACAATGGAGGCCATACTAGCGTACATAGACGGAAAAAGGACGCTGCAATCCCTTAAAGAAGATGAACTAAGCATACTTCCTGTCGACTATTTGATACGGCACGTTAGACCTGGAGAATTGTTGGATGTTTGGCACAAGTTACCTAATGAATATAAATGTAATTTTAATTTACAAATTCGTTTACCTTGTTACGTACATTATAATAGACCTGACGCTCAAACTCACTTTGATGGGCCTGCAGATGCGCAGGCTGATTGTCACGCTTGTAATTATTATTTTAAAAAATAAATGAATAAAAATTATATATGTGTATACATAAAAATCCTTACATCACTAATTCTACATCAGTCATGTTGTTAACTTTAACGAGTACTACTAACGAGTTCTCATTCGTTCCGCAGACCCCTATCATATTAAATCCTGAAAATTCATATTTTAAAGGATTGTTGGGGTTCTGTTCGTACAATTCAATACCCAATATTGATGGAGAGAAGTTTTACTATTATGAAAATAATAATCGAAAAAAATTAAAGACCATCGAAATTCCTACGGGGTGCTATGAAATTACGGATATCGAAAAATATATAAAGAAGGAACTGGAGGTGCGAACCAACAGCATTGACGAGTTTTCATTGCAGCCGAAAAACAATACTCTCAAATGCGAAATATACTGCCAAAATCACGCTATTTCATTTGTACAGGATGATAGTCTTGGTAATATTTTAGGATTTTCCAAAACAATTCTTGCTCCAGACCGAAAGTATGCATCGGATTTACCTGTAAACATTATAAAAGTATCTAGCATACACTTTGATTGTAACATTACTGAAGGAGTCTTCTACGGAGATAGACCTACGCATTCAATATACGAGTTCCCGATAATCGAAAATCCTGGATATCAGATTATAGAACGTCCACATAATCCGATATACTTACCTGTAAGCAGTAGCAGAGAAATAACAAACATAACTGTTGTGGCGCTTGATCAGCAGCAGAGACCCGTAAACTTTCGCGGTGAACTAAGTACTCTTCATTTGGAGTTACAAGAACGTTAAATGGGTTTAGTTATAAACACTTCTGCATACGTGACGTTGTCAGTACCAACCAGAGCTCCTCAGCGACAAGTCGTTGAACGTATGTCTACACAAAACCTATTATTTCTTAAATCGATTGGATTAAAACCTAAACGAAATGGGAAAACGCCAGCATGATGATGATGGTGATGAACCGGCGATGAAACGTTTTCGATTCGATGAAGGTGGTATCGATCCAAAATTCAACCTTTATAAAAAAACCTCGATTTGATGATACTATTAGAAAAGAAGAATATCGATCCTATAGTCCATACGTTAAATCGTTCAACAACAGCGACGTCATTGAATTTATCATAAATCAATCTGATGCATTTTTCGCAATGCCTGACACTCTATTGGAAATTAAAGGAAAATTGGAAATTACTGGTGGTGGAAAATGTGAATTAGCACCCAATTTTGGAGCGTTTCTTTTCGATAGTTGTTCCTACAGCGAATGCTCTAGAGAAATAGAAGTCGTTAGAGATCCTGGAATCGTAAGCACCGTACGAGCCTTAACATGCTATGGACCGGAATACAGTCGTTTCATGAGTATTGCGGGATGGAATTATCCCGATAAACCGCTTCTGAATGGTTCAAAACATTTCAATTTGCTTATGCCTCATAAACACATTTTCAACGTTTTCAATGATTATACTATGATTACCTATGGTAGACAAACATTTCGTTTAGTTCGATCACGTAACGATAATGATTGTGTCATTGTGATGGAGTAGCCTATAACCGGAGGTGTATGACCTCTACAACCGTTAAATTGATAATTGAAAGTATGGAAGTAAAAATTAAACATATCTTCCCTAATGACGAAATTAAAATTATACTTATGGAACCCATCAAAAATGATCGCCCTATATTGATTCCGTTTAGAAACTGGGAATTAAATGAACTACCATCAATAACTTAAGATTATAAACGAGAAATTTGGGCCGTAAAGACTAGTGCTGCCGTAGAACGTCCACGATATATATTAGTTTGCTTCCAAACTGACAGGCGGAATAAACTAAGTAGCGACCCCACTAAATTTGATAATGTTAACCTAACCGGTGTTAGAGTATCTCTAAACGGGGAATATTGGCCAAACGAACGAATGCTTTTAGATTTTAAAGAAGACGACTATGCTATTGCTCACTACAACTACACAGAATTTAATGCAAACTATATAACCGGTACACTGAAAACTGCTCTTCTAAACTATGAAGCGTTCAAACGCTACGCATTATTTGTGATTGATTGTTCAAAGCAGGAAGAGACCATGAAATCTTCTACGGTTGACGTAAAATTGGAAATAGAAGCAGATACAGGATTCCCCGCTAATACCAAAGCATATTGCATCATAATTCATGATCGTTTGATGGAATATCGTCCTCTTACGGAAGTAGTTAAGAGTATTATATAATAATAATAATATGTTGTCTCGTTTTTGTCATCATGAGGATCGCATTCGTTGACATCCAAGGCTTCTGCATCAACGGTATTTTTCATCCGAAGGAATTGAGTATTGTAATTGGTTGTAAACAATACCACGCTTTGTTCACACCGCCTACACCTTATTCTAACCTAAATACGCCTGATAGAATTAGCGCTAGATATGTTGAGAAACATATTCATGGGGTCAACTATTCCTCTGGAGACGTGGATTATTCCAAGTTAAACTCGATTCTGGAAACATATTTACTAAACCATGCTGATTTTATTTACGTGCGAGGAAGTGAAAAAGCCGAATTTTTACTAAAAAAGTGTCACGTGTTTGGAATATTTCCTATAATAGTAGATGTATGCAAGTTCGATGGAACCCCGTGTGCAACAGAAAAATTCAGTAGTGACTCCAAAACCTGCATGTACCACGCCAATGGATCATTTAAATGTACCCAGAAGAACGTCGAAAGTCTACGCCAATGGTTTCTTAATTGCATACCTTTGTAATTTTTTTTGTTATTAATAAATGATTATTAAAGGAAATGTTTTTTAATTGAAACCCCGTATTAATTTCATGCATTTATTTTCGTTTTACAAGAAGAATAAAATTTTTTATTTATAATTTTTACAATAATTTTCAATATTATAAACAAAGTAGATGATAGTGTTATACAACTAACTACATATAATTTAGAATATTTGGGCTCTGACATGTCACTCAAATCGATCGGTGGTGGTGGAGTCGTAACAGCATGCCAATCTTTGAATTCTCCTTCAGTGCCATCATTAAAAATCAATTTTAATTTGTATCTCTTTGCTTCATCGATTGCTATGGAAAACGTATTTAGCTTCATATTATTTACCACCGAGAAATTCATCTTTCGCCATTCCGTTTGATTATCAAAACGTATCGCCATCTGTTGTACGCCCAACGGTACATTGGTATACAGTACCGTTGTTTAATATAGCCGTAAGTATAATGAAATTAGCCTTTAAGATGGCCATATTTGCGTCGGTTGGATTCTTCTAAGTGGATACTGATTAGGATGATATCTCTCAAAGCCTTTATCCCAAAGACTTAAATTTGTCAAATCTCTTAAAACTTGTTTTTTATCTTCATATAATTTTATGTCTCTTCTTAGTTTTTGAACTTTTATACCAAACTCTTCAATTCTACGTCTATTCTCTTCGCTAGACATCTTAATACTGAATACTATACTTATTTTACTTTAAAAAAATATTGCCGGGTGTAGGATACGCCTCCTCTCGGAGATCTGGGTTGTTAACCTTGACGCTCGGCCAACCCAGCTGTAGTAGTAGCAGTAGTTATTGTACCCTCGATACTAGCAGAAACGTCAAACGTCAGTCGTCAAACTTTCCGGTGTTCTCTACATACCCCCATTTCCCCGTTTAAATCTGACCAATAGCAGTGAAGATATATGCTAAGGCCCTTCTGGCTTTTCGTTCTACGCAAAAATTCTCTTGTACGTTAATCTATACCACGCTCTCTACATAACCCCCTTTTCCCCGTTTAAATCGGACCAACGATAGCTGAGATACACGCTAAGGTTCTTTTGTCCTGCCACTGCGCATGCTTTTTTTGTTCGACGTTAATCTATATCACGCTCTCTACATAACCCCCTTTTCCCCGTTTAAATCGGACCAACGATAGCTGAGATATACGCTAAGGCTCTTCTGGCTTTACCACTAAGCATGATTTTTCTATTCGACGGTAAACGAAATTTAATCCCCCACTCCCCCCACTACCCCGTTTTTCCCTCAGACCGTCTGTTTCACTCTTATCCATTGAATATGTACCTCTCACTCTTACACATTGAATTCCCTATGTGAGGCCATACATAGGTTGTCTATCTACTGACCGAACAAAAAGAGACATCGGCCTGGTTCATACGTCGACCTTCGAGGTTGCGGGTTTGCGCGAATTCCTCGACAATGATTGGTGCCAAGTGAGCCTCGTCGCGATATTTGGCGACTTTGCGCCGGTGCGCCCCGTCCAGTCCATCGACTGCGACGACTTGGGCGTCGATAACCGCATAGCGGTTTCCCTTCCGCGCACAAATGTCCGGTTTTCTGGTTCCCACGGGTGTTATAAAGCGCTTTTCGTATGTGACGCTCCACCCCTTCCTAACCAAGTCATCGCCGACGGCCTTTACAATGCAGTCGTGGCGCTGCATTCTTCCCCCGTGGGTTCGGTAGCTATGTTGAATGATGTGTCCCGCCGTCTCCGTTTCCGGACACGTTGCGCGACACATCACAGCAGGTCGCTGGCCTCGCCTACCGCGGGAACAACGCATGCCACTTGCAAGGGTGTTACTCTGAACCCACCACTGGTGCATGAAGTCGCGACCGCTGAAATGGCGGTCTAGTCGACGGATCCATCCTGAATTATAACGACATTTGCCGAAATCTTTCAGGCCAGATCCGTCGACCGCTCCATGCCAGAGCCTGGTCCAGTGCAACTGAAGGCTGCCGGCTTTTTCTGGGTTGAGGATGCCTCCCAGTCGGGCGCGACACCATTTGATCTCGCAATCAAGAGGAGTCTCGCTCGCGCAGGCGACAACCAAAGGTACCGACGAGTCCCTAAGCCTAAGGTGAGGGATGAAGTCGCAGAGGCGTGGGACGCCTAGTCCACTGGATTTCATTGGGGCGTGGAAGTACCCAAGTGCCGTGTCCTTAGGCAAACGGAGCCAACGTCTCACTGCGTTTCGAACTGTGACGTCCAGCGCCTTTAGATCTCCGGCCGTCACCCGTCCGAGGACCCATCCGTAGATGTGCCGCGGAATGATGTACGTCCGGAGGATATAGAGGCGCTGTTGAGTCGTGAGCGGAGCTCTTGACACGCGCTCGAATTCTAGACCCAACGAGACTTTGGTCCCGTCCACCCGGCTGCCGATGTATTGGACCCCGAGGTACATCCAGAGGTCCAGAATCCCGATCTGGTTGAGGAAAGTCGCCCCTAGTTTAAAGGAACGTCTTTCCTTAACCTTGACCTTCTTCTGTTTTCCGGAAGCAACAAGCGAGAGCACCCGGCTTTTGGAAGTATTTAGCTTAAGGCCGTATCTGGCTAATTCGGCAACAATCTTGTCGAGGTTTTGTTGCAACCCGACCCGGGAGGAGGACGCGAGAATCAGGTCGTCGGCAAACGCGAGCCAGCTCGCACGCTGGTCTTCAATTTCGATTCGGACATCGCGGGAAAGATTGTCCAAGGCTCGATCGATGACAAGAGAGAATAACAGAGGGCTTAAAGGATCCCCTTGCCTCACCCCACGCGCCGGCTTCACAGTCGGGTTATCGCGGCCAGTTCCAAGCACCTCCAAAACTGTATTGGCGTCTCTGTAGGAGCGCTCAATAAACTTCACCATAGATTCCGGTACGCCAGACCGACGGCAAGCATCAAAGATTCCATCATGCGAGACAGTGTCGAATGCCTTCGACACGTCGAGGAGCGCAAGATGGCAGGTCTTTACCCGAGAGCTGGATTCCCGGAGGATCGTGTTCAGCCCGCAGAGGTTTTCTGCGATGCCGTCCACGTTACTCCGAAAAGCCCGCTGCTCGTCGCTCAGGAGATCTTTGATTTTGCCGAGCCTGTCGCCCAGAATCTTATGGAGATGTCGTACAGTTACGGAGGGGATTGAAATGGGCCGGAAGTCCGACGGCGTAGCTCTAGCACCGTCTTCGATCTTTTTAGGGATGAAAACGGATTTGGACGCGCCGAGTTCGGAAGGAAATCCCCCTCTCGCCATGATTGAATTAAACCACATCGCGATGATGGGCGATGGTACCTTGTTCCAGGACTCCGGGGAGATGCCGTCCGGTCCAGCAGCCTTTTTATCGTTCACCCGATGCCTGATGACGTCCAAGGTGGTAATGGGACGCCATACGGTGTCAGTCCTCTCGGGAGGTCGAGATGCGCCCGGGGGTGGGATGTACGCGTCGCTGGGAGTCAGAAGGACTCCCTGCCAAAATTGCGAGAATTCCTCGAGAGGAATCTCCACACTCGGGGGTCTATCGACGCCGTCGAGGATCTGGTTTACGCAGGTTCGGGCATCCCGCTCAAAGGCTTGTTGGACCTGACGGAATATTTTCCTTCGTCGTTCCCTTCTCGAGAGGTTTTCCTCTAGTTGGGGGCCACCTTGGGGCCTAACGCCGCCTCTTGGCCGTCTTGTCGCCGGGATGGCATCCTTGATCCAGTAAAGCAGGGGATCTGAGATGTCATCTCGACGGCAACTGCCAATTAGCTGCCTAAGGGCGGCGGCACGGCCGGCGAGCCTTCTAAAGTCGACTTCGTCCGCCAAGGACTCGATCGCGCTAAGGAATGGCTCGTCGGTCGGGCCGTCGGGCTCAGGGGACGCGGGTTCGGGATCGTCGGAGGATTCGGAGCTAAGTGTGATGTCCCGTCTTGGGGCTTGCGCACGGCAGTACTCAAGAACCAGGCTGGTAGGCGGGTTGTCGCCGCTTTCCTTTCACTGCTTCCAGAGTCCTGCGGGGTGAGGTGCAGATTCAGGTTGAGGACCCGATTCCGCACCGCATCTGCTTCGTGACGTGCCATCACTCTCACCTCTTCCTCCGGCCAACGAGCCTTCTTCCTATCCACGTTGATAGCTGCGTTAGCTTCGACTGGATGTGCTCTTTTTTGTGTAGTCCTAGTCCGGTGACGGTGGTGAAGCCTTCGTCACATATCATGCATTTATGAATAGCTCGGACTGGTTCGGGATCAGCATTTCCTTCATCGTTACCATTCACAGGGTTGGCAGCAGCTGCTTATTGCGAATCTGACCAACTCCTGAATTTAAGACGGTCGGCTTGTCAGGCCTTCCCCCCGATCCACTGCTCTTTTTCGATACTACGTCCAGGGTGGGCTGACACGTATGAACCGGTGGATCCCGCGACTGAGCGCTAGGAGTGGCTGAGCTTTCGATGGTTGGGTGAATAATATTTACTTTCTCACCTGCAACTCGGAGATCCTCGTGTCCTGCACTCAAGGGTGCCCTAAAAAAGCGGACACCCTGAGCGGTGGAGGGACATGACTACTCCACCAGACACATCCCTAATCGTCGCACAAATGTTCCCAAGCAGAGAGCAGATCCAGTCGATCTTATAACTGGGGCGAGCGTGGTTGGTTTTCGACAGGTTGTCTCCTGTGATTTTTGTTCTAAATAGGTTTACTCCTATGATTGTTACGGTTTACTCCGTGATTTTTTCTGAAGGTTGTCTCCTTACCTTCGTTTATGTATACCCTGGCGGGTGATTTTTGCCTTCTCCGGGACCGTGAGTCCGAACAAGTTCAGACAGGCCTGGGATACTTACTGGTTAACTCCAGGGCTTTAAAGCCGTTTTAAGACTCCGCAGGCGTCTGGGTGCACAGCACCAATCGTGGCCCGCGACAAAGTCCAAAGCGCATACCCACCCCCAGGCTGCCATCAGTCAGAAGGGCGGGAAGGAGGAGGAGGATTGTCCAACTTAGGTACAAAGTCAATGTTAACCACTGTCTGGTAATTCTAGCATAATGGCATGAAGCTAGAATTTAAAAAATTAAGTAATTTAGTAAGACATCTTGGAATATAAAGTTCTGCATTTAAGGCTTCTCCCCGAACACGACCAACATACGGCTGTGAGATAAATCCTGCTTCAGAAATGGCACACCACACTAAAACTTTATCCTCAAATTTCGATTTACCTTTAAATTTAACATTGTCTGGTGTATTTTCTATGTTATCGGTATAAAACCCATCGTTTCCTTTAATCTCTAAATGGGATAAGCTAAAATATTTTTCACCATCCATTACAATCAATTTATTGGCAAAGTGGATACGCCTTAATGCGCGGCAACAACGCGGAATTCTTTCTAGCTGGTCTGCGGTGTATTTTGGTGCCTTTCTTCTTTTTCTAAACACTAAGTTTGTGCGATCAATTGTTCTTAATATAGTAGTTTTTGAAATACCAAATCTCCGGGCTAATTTTCTCTGAGAAACTCCAACTTTGTCTTTAGCAGCTTCCATCAGTCTTCTTTCTCTTCTTACACTCAAAATTCTTGGTCTACCGCTTTTGGGTAAATTAATGCATGGTATACCCTCTTCACAATTCCTTATAGTGTTGTAAATGGTTGACTTACTTATTATATTTTGCTCTTGGTAGATTGCAACAATATCATGCTTAGGTATTCGTCTAACTAGATTGTAAATGCCCTTACGAATATCTAATTTGTAAGACATTTTGCTACAATCGATTTCTAAAACTAAACTGTCATAATCAAACTTGATTACGTGTGACGTTTTAGTTTCAATGGCAACTTGATTAAACGACATTGGGTACAAAAATAAATAATTTAAAAATTTTCCAAAAACTTTAGGACCATACGTTAGTTGAAAAATTATTACTACCAAAAGCAGCAGTATTATTTACATCGGGACGTGTACAAGTTTGAGATAAATTTTGACCATCTTCTAGCTTCTTACATAAAATAGTCTTAGGGTCTTGCAATGCTAACTGAGAAATAAAGGTAGGTAAAAGATTTCTTTTAATAATATTTACTCTTATACATTCGTCTGGCAAGATAGTTAATCTTTTAAAAAGTTTTTCCATGTAAGAAATGTATAATGTTGTGCTTTCAGAATTAAGTTGTTTTCTATTTTGAATCTCCAATTCTAAATTATATTGATAGTCACAAGGTAAGAAATGTAATTTTAATTGTTCAACAAGGTGATCCCAGTCAATGAATTTAGAACAATTATTCATATACCAAAATTGAACATCACCTTTTAAAAGATCACAGCTACGTTGAAACACTTGTTGTTTCGAAAGACCTCTAGGCAATCTTAACATTTCGACATGTTCCAAAAAATCAAACAACGAATTGTTACCATCATAGAATACACCCCATTTATGAAGATCTACACTTGTATATGAAGGAAAACTAACTTGTTCTGTAGGTACAGTACTAGGGTTAAAATCAGAAGAATTATTAATTTTTCATATAAATCAGCTTCTAACATGATTATTTTTGTTTTTATTGTGTTTTTAGCTGTAACTTTTTCATCAGAGTCTACTTTTAAATTAGCTACCCTATTAGACAAATGAACTAATCTAGAATTAATTCGTTTAAAAGCTGGATCAGATTTATTATCAGTAAAATTTTCTATTTCTGTATTAACTTCTTCAATTGACAATTCCATTTCA